AGAAGGTTTACCGCTCGCCGGAATTAGAGCATTAGTCTTCTGAGCTTTCGAACTCGCACAGTAGTCCAGCATTAATAAAAGCAACAGATAGGGGCGAATCAACCATCGATGTTTAAAGTCCGGACGGGACTGCGCAGCGTTCTATAGGCCATGTAGGCATGTCTGACTTCTGGCGTTTGCGATTTTCCTCGTGGCTGTGAAGTCAAACTTTTGCGCTCCTTCTTAGGTGTGGCCATTCATTCAGAATATTTCGTCACCTAGTCCCAAATTCGACTTACGGTTGAGTATGCGCGACTCTAGCGTCCATCTAGTCTGAATTGTGTGGTTAAAAGTACAACATAGAGTCAGGATTTGATTTAGTATAACCGCTCGCACGATGGGATTAAAGCAATTCTTGAGTAACATCACCCAACGGCGTATGCGCACTTTGGACAAATGTGTAATTCTGAAACTTTTTACTAAAGCAATGCGCCTGATCGCTTCTAACGCTCCCTTGATGTATGGCAGCAGATTCCATACCATGAGTCCTGTTTGTAGTAAGGTCCTCCGGGGAGAAATACGGAGACACCAGCTTTGTGGCGCCTTCTTATAGCCAATCAGCATAAGTTGGCTGTGGAGATAGCGGGCCTCGCACCCTTTTTCTTCCGTTCTGCTTAAATGGGCTTGGATACGCTTCACGTATGTTCTCAAAAAGGAAGCTGGAAGTTGGACCAATCAAATAGTGCCAAAAAGTGGTTTGCATGTAAACTTGCCTTCTGATTCATCTGATTGGTTGATAAACCTCTAATTCTGTCCGTATCGGGCACGATATCAGCACGAGCACGGCTCGTGGGGGAATCCTAGTGTGTAGTTCGAACAATCCGATCAGGCAAGGCTGCTTTAAAGTCTGCCTACTGATTTCTGCGAATAATCCTCCATCGTTGATGATTAATTGCAAAGCGACGGTATGCAAGTGCCCTCTACGAGATCAGCAAAACAATGAATAACGTCGATTTCGCATTCGGTTAAGTCAATGTCAAACAATTAACATAACTCGCGTTTTCGCACCCTAACCGTTCGAGTAGTTTGGATCGAATGTTAAGCATTTGTGCGGTATTTAATAAAAATTCCGGCAAAATGAGCTTATGTAGCCCCACTCATATACCCCTAGTCCTACCATTTCGTCCTGCAAAAACGGTGGTTATAGAGTTTTGGTGGGTGGCGAAATAGGATAGGTACAGAAGGAACTTTTAAGAAATAATTTTAGAGTGAAAAAAATGTATTCGAAGTTGCTTTCGGCGGCCACTGAGAGTAAGTTGTTCCGCATGTAAATTGAAGGTGTGCGCAGCGCTTCGCGCCGCGAACTATAATAATCTACCAGAACGGTAAGTTGGACCTCAGGTAAGTTGAAGTAGACGACCTCCTAACCACCATTTCCTTTTTAGGGAAATTCAAGAAACCTGCAATTTTATAATCTGGTTTTTCCGCAATAATTTAAGCGATGATACAGATTATGAAAATCTATAGATATAAATCAACAATACTTCTTAATACAGTAAAGTAAAAATGTATTTGGAATTTATTAAGTATATTCCACCGCGTGTCCTAATTCCCCACCCATAAAACCCTATAACTACCGTTTTCGTAGTGAAACATGCAGGGAGTAGGGATTGATGAGTGGGGCTACATAAGCTACTGTTGCCAAAATTCCTTTGTGTACACATTCTTCTTGCAGCAACGTGCCTGACATTAATATCCAGTAACTGGAATCCACCGCCGTGATGCCACTTCCGTCCATCAAAGATAATCGGCCCCGCGGCATATGTTGTTTATGTCTGTTCAGTCCTAGTAAGAGAAAAATAGGGGACGGGTTTTGCACTCCCCATCGATTATTAAGTAACTAATAAAAAGCATCGATACAAAATAAAAAAGCGGTTGTTTACATAATTCCATGCAAAAAGCAAGCAACCGTCCTATAGTCGACGCGGATAGAAATAAACTACTACTAACTTATCACAAGTAGCATTGCTTGATGTACTTTTGTACGTAGGTAGATTGGCCTGCAGTCGGTAATTAAGAAGCCTGATGCACGAAGAGTTTGCACTGAACTAAATTCATACAGATGGAAAGAACGAAATCGGTGGGCAGTTGTTCAACGCTGCAATCATGATCCACTTACGAACAGCTTTGCTGCAAGAACCCGAACCGTCGAGTTTTCCGTAGGCCCGACACTCGCCTCAACTGAAGGTTCAGTCAACTATCGAAATTCTTTGTTACCCAGACCGAACCATAGAGTATTTGCTTTTAGCTTAAGCCATCTACTAATCGCCACTGGTGTGCATAAATGTATATACTGTGCGTCATTCTACTTAGGCCTTCCTCTTTCGCAACAGTTATCCTCCACGAGTCTGGTGGAAAACTGCAGATATCCATAAATAAGAATACCCTATTTTGTCTTTGTAGAATCCGACGTCTGAAGGAGAGCGGCATTATTGGAAGGGCCTCGGAACGTTGGTTTCCATCCTTCCCCAAGGAGCGGCAACCCGTGGCCCGTGGAATAGAAGTGCAATTAAGACACTGCAGCGGCGCCTTCATCATCGTAGGTGTTGGTATCTGCGGAGCAATTGTGGCCGTCCTGATCGAATATCTTTTCTTTAGGTTTTCGCCACGACTGTGCCCTCGACTGCCCACCTGAGCTAAATGTGCTCTCAACTGTCCGCGACTGCATGATGTTTAATGTCAACCTTTTGAATAGCCGGATTTAATGTTTCATAAATGACCTTCGATTTTATTAACATCATCTCAAAATTGTACACCTATTTATATGTGTTAGGAGATAGCCTAACCGACTGCTAGCATAACCTTGTGGGCTGTCCTGATGAATTGCTTCTGTGGCCGAAGGCCAACAATGGTTCCTTGCTCGATATGAGCGGTCTCAAGGTCGTTTGTCTGCGCTAGTGACTGTCCCCACTCGATGACTCTAAACCGCACAAGCCTGCGGCCACCGAGCACGTAAACTCAATACTCGACACCCTTCGAGTTATCCAACGCACCAATCATGCAATACCTGAACTAGCTTCACAATAACATATGAGCAACCGTCATATCTGGCAGAGGGACTTGCATCGGAATTACTCAGACCGCGGCCACTGCCACCCGAGACAGCATCTCCGGAATCTGTACACAAGAAAAAAACATCATTCGGATGGCCTCCAATCTCACGTTCTTTTTGTTGTGTTCTTCCTTGGGGGTTTAAACAGGGCATAATCAGACGGCGTCAACTTAGCTTGCCACCGTTTCAAATTTGGTGACCCAGGTGTGATTCCCGACTCTGTGAAAGTTACAACAATATGGACTTCTGTGGGGGTTGCTTACATTCGATGAAAAATAATGATTATTGCCTAGAAGGGGTAGAGGGCCGCCCTTCTATTGGGCACTTCGCTAATGCATCAAGGTGCGTAAATGTTTTGAACACAAAGGCGTGAATATCTGTAGTGCAAGTGAATAAACTGATATCTCAGAGACGCTTCGCATGACAAATGCCGCTGGAGCGATTTCCGTTTGTTGCAACTAT